AGCACAGTAATAGTCGGCCTCGTCCTCGGGCTAGGCCCCCGTGATGGTGAGGGCGGCTTTGTTCCCAGAGATGGATCCGGAGAAGCGACTGGGGACCCCAGAGTGACGGCTGTTTGTGTTGTAGATAAGCAATCGGGGAGCCTGGCCTGGTGTCTGCTGGTACCAATCAGGGTAGTTACTGGAAGTGACAGACCCAGAGCTGAGGCCGCAGGTGAGTGTGACCGTCCCTCCTGGAGACACTGACAGGGACGGCTCCTGGGTCACCACAGTCTGAGAGTTCACTCCTAAAAGCGACAGGAGAGAGACAGGGGTGGTTATGGAGACCAGGGTCATCTTGACACCTGGCTTTAGGCACCCCCTAAGGATGCAGCGTATCGACCCCTGACCTGAGCCGTGAGCGAGGAGCCCGAGCAGAAGCACCGTCCAGGCCATGGTGGGGACGCTCCTGGGACACGGCTCCTCAGCCTCCTGGGCTGCACTGTGGGGTCCTCGGGCCTTTTCATGTCTCTCGGACCCACCGGGAGGAGAAGGGGCTTCATGCAAATCAGCTTCCTCCCTGTCCCTGCCCAGTGTCACCTGATGTCCCCTGGGGGAGGTCTGGAGGGAGCAGATGTGCGGTCGTCACTCTGACCTATAAGGCATGGTGATGAGACACTGAGTGATGCGGGTGACGCCTCTTACCAACTGTTCTCCCCCTGCCTCTGTGACCTCAGTCCTAAATCTCTTCCCTGCAGAGCCTAAGGGCTGAAAGTGGACATGGTGGGTTCCTCCCCTCTGGGCCCTGAAATCTAGTCCCCCCACAGCTACCCCCATCCCTGGGACAGGTCTCCCTTCCTCTGTGAAATCCCTGCTTGTCTTCTTTGGAAGAGCTGAGCTGTCCCTCCTCCTCCAGCACTGAGCCCACTGGGAAGTCACAGAGCCTGTGACTGGGGTGGGAGGGACAGGGGTCTCACTGGTCTCAGTCCTGGACCACAGGGCAGCCCCACAGCGTGCTTCACTGGTCACGGGGCACAGTGTCACCGAGGACCAGAGACCTGAGGGCCCAACTGGTTGGGCAGCTCACCTGGTCTCCATTCACAGGTCCATGGTGGCTTCCCTGATTCTGTGGTTCATTTCTGCTGAGTCACATCCTATGTTTTCATTTCCAACTGGAGTCCTGGTCCATGGAAGCTGCAAAGCTGTGCGTATGGAACCATTAAATGTTACGGCGCCCTCCCCTCTTCATGAAGTACAGTCTAGAAAAGCCAACTGACCCACGGGTGCCCCAGTGCAGGTGTCAGTGACAATGGGACAGGGAGTTGGTTCAAATCACATGTAGGAGGACTGCTGAGTCCCCATCAGGAGCACAGGCCCCACCCCCAGGCCCAGCTCCTGGGAGTGCTTGGTCCTCCCTGAGCAGCTGTGCAGGGACCAGAGGGCAGCCTCACCTCGCCCCCTCCCGGTAGAATGTGGAAAATGAAAAAAAATTTTTTTAATGATATCCAGAAAAAAAGAGATAAAATGCGTTTTTCCTTAGGAAAATACAACATTGGCTCTGATAGAGAAAATAAGAAAATGGACTAACTTCCAAGGAGGAAAACCAAAAATTTTATTATGGAATTATTCCACACATAGATATAATATATAACATTTTCATCCAGAATCTCTAACAAAACTTCAGCAATCA